TGCACGCTCTCTCTCATTCATTCTCTCTCTCTCAAATAAATAAAATCTTAAAAAATATATATATATATCTGGTCCATATCCTAGCAGACGAGGGTGATGAGTCTTTATCCAATATCATTCCTTCCCCTGAAAACATGAGTCAAAACTGACCTAAAATATTGGTAAGAGATTTAATACCAATAAGGAGGGACATGTGGGGTGCCTGGGTGGCTCAGTTGGTTAAGCGACTGCCTTCGGCTCAGGTTATGATCCTGGAGTCCCGGGATCGAGTCCCGCATCGGGCTCCCTGCTCGGCGAGGAGCCTGCTTCTCCCTCTGACCCTCCCCCCTCTCATGTACTCTCTCTCATTCTCACTCTCTCAAATAAATAAATAAATCTTTAAAAAAAAAAATAAGGAGGGACATGTTTATGGGATACTGTTAAGTGAGGGGGTGGGGGGAATTAGAAAATAAATGTACATAAAATCTACTTCACTGTAAAGAAAACTAATACTCAGAGAGAAGACAGGGAGAAAATATCCAACACACTAACATTTCCTGTCTCTTTCTATTCCTCTGCATGCCGTCGTCTTCCATAAGGAGCATATTTTACTAGAATAATCAGTAAACATAAACTTAAAAGTGCTGGGGTAAGGATGGTAATTTTTGTTCCTCTACAAGTTATTAATCCATCCTCTCTTTGCTCCCTCCTGTGCCCTGAACCCCTTCCACTATACCCACAGACTGCCCGGGAGTTCACTTAAAGTTGTCTAAATCATTGTTGATTTTGTAAGATAGTTTCCCCTTCTTTTTTTTTTTTTTAAGATTTTATTTTATTTATTTGACAGAGAGAGAGAGACACAGTGAGAGGGAACACAAGCAGGGGGAGTGGGAGAGGGAGAAGCAGGCTCCCCGCGGAGCAGGGAGCCCGATGTGGGGCTCGATTCCAAGACCCTGGGATCATGACCTGAGCCGAAGGCAGTCGCTTAACCAACTGAGCCACCCAGGCGCCCTGATAGTTCCCCTTCTTAAGAAATATTGCTTCCGGGGCGCCTGGGTAGCTCAGTTGGTTAAGCGACTGCCTGCGGCTCAGGTCATGATCCCAGGGTCTTGGAATCGAGCCCCACATCGGGCTCCCTGCTCGGCAAGGGGCCTTCTTCTCCCTCTCCTTCTGCCCGTTCCACTGCTAGTGCTCTCCTGCTCTCTCGCTCTGTCAAATAAATAAATAAAATCTTCTAAAAAAGAAAGAAATATTGCTTCTTGGGGCTATTAGATTTCTTCTGTCAAGAAAGCCCTTAGCATAGTTCCTCAATAAATGTATGTACTAATAACTGCGTAAGGAAGGACAGACCGAAAGAGAGGGAGGGCAGAAAAAGTACTAAGTAACTATCAGTACCTTATGTTCCTGCTTGTAGGTCTTAGGGCAAATCAAAAGAAAGAGTCAGTTCTCATCTATCTATATTTTGAGGGGAAGGAGGAAGCGAGGATAACCAAAATTCTCACCCTCACCCAAATTTGCCTCTCGCATGCAGTTCCCCCAGAATAACACACCTAATTCTGAACTTCCCCTTTGCTCACTCAGAAATCTGCATATCCAGCAGCTCCCGGTAGCCAAGTATAAATACACATTTGTGTTCCTAAGTATGATGTTGCATCTCTATCTGATGTGGGTGCACTGTCCTCAACAATCCTTGTAGCTAGCACTACGAGATAAATTACAGGGATCCCAGTTCAATGTGAATCTCAGATAAACAAGGGATACCTTGTTAGTATAAGGAGACCCCAAAGATTGCATGACGCAACTTGTATACTAAAATGGGATCCACTATTTATCTGAAATTCTAATTTTACTGGGCTTCTCATATTTTTATTTGCTAAATCTGACAACCTTACTTGTAGTAGGTTGTTCACCCATCCCCATGGATTCCAGGCTTTTCCTAACCTGCTCCCCTTCCTCTAGAAATTGCCCCACCTGTCAACAATTTTCCTAAAATATGATGCTTAGAATTGAACAGTGGGGGGATGCCTGGGTGGCTCAGTCGTGACCTGCCTTTGGCTCAGGTCATGATCCCAGGGTCCTGGGATGGAGTCCCGGGCTCCTTGCTCAGCAGGGAGTCTGCTTCTCCCTCTGCCTGCTCTGCCTGCCGCTCCCCCTGCTTGTGCTCTCTGACAAATAAATAAATAAAATCTTAAAAAAAAAAAGTGAACAGAGGGGAGTCCTGGTGTCCAATGTCTGACATCATGGTGGCATGTTCTGGGCATGGGTCCCTTGATCAAAGACCACTCCAGGTGAAAGACCAAGAGCCAAACAACAGTACAGAGATGGGCCTACCTGCATCACCTGGGGACTCTGTGTATGCTTCCCTGGACATGAGAGGTTGTATTTACCCTTTTGGCTAAGTATTACTCCAGAAAGAAACACCTGTGTATTTTCCTAAAAGAACAGAAGGGAACAAAATATTTTTCTGCTCTTGGTATGCATGAGGAACCATTCTGAACACCACATCTACAGCATCTAACAGCCCTATAAGATGGTCTTTGAAGGAGATATTATTTTCCTTTTTTATAGCCTCAGCATTATTAGGAAGCTTGACAAGCTTATAAGGTGTTAGGGACCGAATATATCCCCCCCAGGTTCATATGTTGAAACCTTAACCCCAATGTGATAGTATTGGGGGATACCAATGTTTCTTTTTTTTTTTTTTTAAAGATTTTATTTATTTATTTGAGAGAGAGAGAATGAGAGACAGAGAGCATGAGAGGGAGGAGGGTCAGAGGGAGAAGCAGACTCCCTGCCGAGCAGGGAGCCCGATGAGGGACTCGATCCCGGGACTCCAGTATCATGACCTGAGCCGAAGGCAGTCGCTTAACCAACTGAGCCACCCAGGCGCCCCGATACCAATGTTTCTTAAGAAGCAATATTTCTTAAGAAAGGGAAGGTAATTAGGTTTAGATGAGGTCATGCGGGTGAAATCCTCATAATGGGATTAGTGCCCTTAAAAGAAGAGGAAGGCACCAGGGCTCTGCCTTCAGAGAGAACAAGGAGCCACCTGTCTGAAGCCAGGAAGCCAGCTCTCACCAGCACATTGATCTTGGCCTTCTAGCCCCCTAGAACCATGAGAAATAAATGTCTGTTGCTTAAGCCACCCAATCCATGGTATTTTTTATTGGGGTAACCCAAGGGGAGGAAGACACAGAACTAGTGTTTTAGTCAGGTTATGCTGTGGTAATAAACCAACCACAAAATCTCAGCAGCTTTAACACAACAAACATTCATTTGTTGCTCGCACAAAGTAAGATGGGAGACAATGGTAAGGGGAGAAATCCTCTGTTGTGCAGTCACTCAGTGACTTCTGCCATCTTGTAGCCACACCAAGGAAGGCCACGTGGCCCTCATGGTCATGACAGCAAGGATAGAGGAGTATGGAGAAGCTCTCTCATATTCCATGCTTCAGCTATAAAGTGACACAGTCATTCGACTTACAACCTATTGGCCAGAACTGTTCAGAGAGCACCTAAGTGGTCTTCCTCTGTGCCCAGAAGAGGAAAACGCAGTAGACCCTGGTGAACACAGAGCACTGTCTACCACAATGAGTATATGGTAAAACCAGAATCCACCAGAAGATCTTTAAGCTTTCAAAAATCCATACTCTTTCCATTTCAATATCTGGTCCTCCCAAGATTAAGGGAATCTGTTCTTCACAAAAAGGAAAGGTCACATGGGACATTTTGTAGACTAGGACACCTCAAGGAAACGGATAGGAAAAATGGCCTTGGTGAATATTTCAGATTTGCAAAACCTAAAGCATCACAAGCTTGCCCCCTTGGAAAATCTTAGAAACATAGAACATGAGATCTCTGCAAGTTGTACCTAGAGGATAAATATCTATGAGACAGGCATGTTGCTCCAGTTTCTAAGAGAAAACCACCGGGTGTGGGGGTGAATCTTCAAGAAGGTTCTGGTATGTTGTAGGGTGACCAACCATTGTAGTTTTCCAGGATTCTCCTTGTTTTAGCTCTAGAAGTTCCACGTCTCAGAACATCGTTTCATCCCAGACAAATGCTTGCTCAGCTGGTTGTACATCGATACTTTTTCTCCCAGACAAGGTCTGAATGTGTCACCTCAGGCGGCTCAGTAAACTGCATGAAGATGTGCAGGATCTGAGAGAGTCAAGTTGGCTCTGAGTCCTAGAGAAACCTGAAGGGAAATAGCACATGAGAATAAGATTCTCCCACAGGAGAGAATTCAGGAAGCTCCTCTATGAATATTGGCCCTCTTATCAAAGTGGTCCTCTTCAAGGACTTGGGGAAAGAAAATAGCATGCCAGTACAACTTTGGTTCTGGAGACTCTACTCCGGCTGCTGAAGCCTGAAGTACAAGAGGCTTTTCCCAGCCAGATCAAACCAAGGACCTATATTAAGCTTATAGATAACATTAACACCTCTATCTGTTTCAAGTCAAATACTATTAAAACAGGCTGTCCTCCATCTCGAATTTGTGCTCTTCTTAAGAGGTGTATACACATACACACAAATATACACACACAGATGCACATGCATGCCTTTGCACTTCTTCCAAGGTACATTTCATCCTGTTAGCATTGGCCCAGTGCTTCATTTGTTGAGTTGGATTTGGTATGCACTTTGACCTGTACGCTTTCCATCATCTCCAGATTAAAATCCCAAGTCCACAGCCAGCCTAGGCTCTCAGGGTCCTGCTTAAAAAGCTGCACATTTGACCTTATCACACACAGCCCCCCTTCACACAGTGCTCTGATCCAGCTATTCCGTTCCCTTGACCACACTTAGGCTCAATTCATCCAGCTCTGTCCGTCTACACTGATGCCTCCACCTCTTGTGTACTTGGATAAATTCTAAATCCAAGACTCAGATCAGGTTCCTGGATCAGTGATGACTTCTCTGCTATTCTCTATAAATTCTTCCCAAATTCCAGCAGCAGACCTTATACAAGTACCAGTCAGTTCTGTTCTGTTTATAAATCCCTTCTATGTCAAATTTACATATTTATGGTTATTCAACTTTTAGTTATTTTCTGATTTGTCCCCAAACCGAGACTGTAAATTCCTGGAGAACAGGAACTACCCTTAGCCACTCTTTTTATCCCCTGATGAGTGTACAGCCCAGTGTCTGCACATAGTAC